GTTTATTAAGAAATCATCTTTGCTCAGATCTAGTGCTTCTACTACAGTCTAAAGTATATAGACAGAATCCCCCAGCGGCCATTTGTTTTTAAAAGTTACGTGTTAAAGTTAATGTATTTTAAACGTCTTCTAAACATTCTTACCTAAAGAACGTTTAAAAGACGTTTAAAAAACGTTTAAAAGTCATTTAGAATGTAACTTTAAAAAAAAATGTTTAGAATAAGGGCCAGTAGGGCCTTTATTCTAAACATTTTTTTTAAAAGTCTTCCACTTTTTATTGTAGTTTCAGAACTTACTATTTGAGATGGTAAGGGTTCCTTATAAATAAATTAATTTAAATTAGTTTGAAAGTCCTTCTCACGGTGCTTACTAGCAACTTTTTATTTTTGGAATTTTTTTGCAGCTCTCTCTAAGCATGGTAAATATCTACAAGTTTTTTTATACAGTTAAATATTGCTCTGAGAGGGATTCAAGTTTTTTTCCAAATTTCAATACACTCTTGAATGACGAGATTTGAGCTTTCACTAACAGTCAATTTAGCTTTGAGAATGTTAAAAAAAAATACTGCAAGAACTTAGCGGTTAGAAAATGACTTTGCGCCTGTTATTTGATACGGTAGACCGAGACTACTTAAGCAATTTTTACAAAATATAACAGATCTCATGAATGCGTCGAATTTACAAAATTTTTTTCACTATTTTAAAGATAATTTAATCTGCTAAAATTTAATTTAATCTAATCTAAATCTAATCTAATCTAAATTTAATCTAATCTAAAATTTAATTTAATCTGCTAAAAATTTGTTAAGTAAAAAGAATATTTTTTTGATTTTTTTAAAAAGATAATGCATGAGCTGCTTATCCTGTCCCATCGGGGTAAGTTGAGCAATAGTGTAGGGTAAGTTGAGCAATCAACAAATGAATAAATATGCATGGTGCGAAACTTAAGTGAATCATCGATAACATTCACTAACAATAAGCGTGTGTATAATTTATAAACTTTTTATTTTATACACTTTAATGACGTAAGTAAGAAAAGCAAAAAAAATTAAATACTAAGAAAGTGTCATAAAATATAAAAAAACTGTTTTAAACAATTGAACTTTGATACCCAATTTAAAAAATAGTAATTTTAAAAATATATATGAATAATTTCTTTTAAATTATTTTTTTATCAAGATTGTTTTTTTTGTTCGAAGGTTCGGCTTTATTTGTTTTTTTCAAAGATGCTCACTTACCCTTAATAGGCTAGGTGACACATTAGTTAAATTTTAAAAAGAACACTAAGATTTATATAAAAAAAAAGGTAATTTTAATCAAAAGCCCAATAAGTTGTTAAAATATCAGCACTTAAGTGATGTCAGATAAAAAAGTTTATAAGCATCAAAGAAAAAAATAGTCTATAAGTTTATTTTTAATTTTTTAGTCCAAAATAGAAAAAGTGCTTGTGTATCTTACTTAATTGCTTTTCAATAATATTTTGTTGCGCATTATGTTAACATTGCAATTTTCTAACTTTCATCCATTAGATGTAACTACATAATTGGCGACTTAAATTTAAACGCATTAAAATATCACTCGAATTGCAAAATTAATGGGTTTTATAATGATCTATTTGAAAACGGTTCATATCCGTTAATTAATAAATCAACAAGGGTAACTTCGATGTCTGCATCCTTAATAGATAACATTATGACTACGGACACTTTTAATGAGTCCCTCAAAAAAAGGTTTAATTAAAAGCGATGCTTCAGATCATTTCCCAATTTTTTTCTCAATAAATATTGATATTGACTTGATACCGAAACAAAATCAAGTTTACTTTAAACGATGCTTTAGCCAAGCAAACATAATGTCGTTTAATGAGCAGCTATCTCTACTACACTGTAAACATTTAAATTTTTCATTTGAAGCAAATCTACCAACCAAAGAACTTAGAAAATTGTCCAAAATTAAACAAAAATTAAATATTAAGTATCTAAAAATAAAAAGTGATAAAAACAAGGCGATTTATAAAAATTACGTTAAAAATTTTGAAAGTCTAAAAAAAAACTTTTTCTATCCGGTAAAAATATCATTGCACTACCCAGTGGGCATTTCGACGTCGAACGAACGTCGAGCGACGTCGGATCTCGACGTCGGATCGACGTTGGGTTTACGTTGGAAATGGAAATGTTATTTGACGTCGGATAAACTGACATCGCGCGACGTCGGCATTCCGATGTAAATCCAACGTGTTTTTTGAAAACTAAAAATCGCTGCCTTTGACAGGAATCGAACCTCGGTCTATTAGTTTCTACATCCTATGCGCTTACCACTACACCACAAGAACATATTAATAGTTGAGTTTACTTAGTAATTTATACTTGTAGCTATTTGGGAATTATTACTTTGATAAGAAATAATTTTGTTTAAATATTATATAAATATTAAAACGAATAGTTATATATTATAAAAAATGTATACTCGAAAATGTTAATAGTTAAAAAACTATGCTAGTGCATCATACAAAACCTCATGATGTTTTATCAACCTTTATTCAAACTTTTTTCCATTAATAAAAAAACACGCTTAGTTCACATAATTATTGAAGAGCGCAATTGCACACATATTGTTGGGTTTGGATTAAATTTTCATCAGCGATGTCTTACGACGTTGTTCCGACGTCGTTTTAAGGACGTTGGATTGACGTCGGAAGACGTCAAAAGACATCGGAGTACGTTAATATTATGACGTTGCCCGACGTCTTTTTATCGACGTTGGATCGATGTCAGTACTGCGACGTTTTTTGGACGTCTTTTATAAGATGTCGGAACAACGTCAAAATACATCGAAACGACGTCAGGGGATGTTGAGATAAAGACATCGCCCGACGTCATTTTACTGACATCGGAACAACGTCGGAATAGGTCTTTTGACATCGCTGATGAAAATCAAACGTAAATCCGACGTCGGATTGACGTCGGGTGCCCACTGGGTATTTAATGAAATCAACATAGAACTAACTAAAATTTCAAATTGGTTTAAGTCAAATAAACTATCAATTAACTTGGAAAAAACTAAATGGACTTTATTTTCTTCAAAATCCCAAAAAAAACTTTTACCAAATGATATGCCTAAAATATATATTGATATTGTTCAAATAAAAAAATAAAAAACTATACATTTCCTTGGTCTTTTCATTGATAAAAATCTAACTTGGAAAAACCATATCGAAATTTTGCGCAATAAAGTTTCAAAAAATATTGGAGTATTGTATAAAGCGAGAAATTTTGAAAATAGACATTCATTAATTCAACTTTATCACTTGCTAATTCAATGCCATATAAACTATGCAAATATCGCATAGGGTAGTGCTAAAAAAATTCAATTAGATCCTCTATATCGGCAAAAGAAGCATATAGCACGTTTAATAAACTTTAAAGATCGTTATACTTATGCCAGACCTCTTTTATTGGAAATGAATGTTCTTAATATATACCAGCAAAATGTTTTCAATGTTCTTTTATTTATGTACAAATGTAAGATAAACCTAACCCCTATATCCTTTCAAAATTTATATGCAATAAAACAAAAAAACAAATATGACTTAGGAAATAACAATCTTATTCATCAACATTATTCTCATACAAGTTTTGAAAGATCTCTTTTAACATATCGCGGAGCTCTTCTGTGGAACAAAATAGTTTTGAAAAATTTTGATTTTTCCCAAAGTTGGAGTTTTCTTACTTTTAAAATTAAGTTGAAAAAAGTAATTTGCAAAATATATTGTTTTATTTTAAAATATTTAGTTTTATATATATTCTTTATGTTGTTAAACGTTATTTTATGTTTTGAAATATCTTGTTAAATTTAAATTTTATTTTTAAACGTCATTTATTGTAATTATTTAACTGGTTTTACTTTTACTGTATTGTTAAACAGTTCTCAGTGACAGGATCTTACGATCTTCTTTGAGTCTCCGTATTCTGATATTTAGTGTACAACGATATTTATACCATACTATATTGTAAAAAGAACAAAAAAAACAACAACAACAAAAAACAAAAAAAAGATGTTTTGTCATGTAATGCATAACTTTTTAGATGTTTTAGTTGCCCAGCTTGCCTCTATCTTCAACTAGCTCCGCTCTACCCTAATCCACGTTGCGAATTTAGAAAATATTTTTTCTATTGCACCTTAATTCCACTGCCGTTTCTTAAATGTAAAACAATATGTATTAATCACGAGAATGCCTAAATCAGGCTTTTCTAAAAGTGCGGATTTGCTCAAAGCGGTTTTTATAATGTCGCAAAATTGATAATAACTATTTACAATTACTGTAAATAGATAATTATCAGGATAATAATTACCTACTTTCAATTATCAGATATGCATTACTGTAAAAACCACTTTGAGCATATCCATCCTTTTAATAAATAACGCGAGTAAGCGCAACTATTGCGCAACTTGTATGAACATGAGTCGATGCAAGTCGGGTTATTGTACTCCAATAAAGGTTAAAAAAATATTTTCGAGTGTTTTAGAAGCAAATGAACAAAACTAAGACCTATGCTTTATAAAATAAAAACTTTGAAAAATAAGACACACAATATATATATATGTATATATATATATATATATATATATATATATATATATATATATATATATATATATATATATATATATATATATGCATATATTCAAAATCTCTCTCTCTCTATATATATATATATATATACACCTATTAATAAAGGCTTTTTTTCTGATGACTTATTTTTCAAACTACAATTTAAAGAGTTTGTTTTTTTCTGTAACAGATTTTTTTAAAGTGCCTTTAAAAAGTTTTTAAAAAAATGTTAAGCAACTGGTACAGGTGAAATAAATGAAACTGTTATTTTGAGAACAACACAACACAGAAAAAACATCTTGTTTAAAAAAAGTAACTAATTTGTCCAATTTTTATTAAATGCAAGTGATTTCAACTAATCAAAAATATATTATCATTGTTTTTTTCAGGGCTAGGACTTCAATGTTATTATAAGCCTCTCCATAACGTAACGCAAAAAGTAGAGCCGATTATTCAAAACTGTTCCGTAGTTGAAAATAGTTGTTTAACTGTTAACTTAGGCATCAATGGAATCATACAGAAAACGGAATCAAAATGCACTATAGATAGCTTGTTTTTTCAATGCTCTAAGCAATGCATTTTATTTTATACAAGCTATACTCTTTGTCAGGTAAAGTAACTTATATATTTTCTTTTACCTAAAACCTTCCCCTTCTCTAAAAAAGTTCACAGAACAGGGATAATCTGAATTATAAATTCACAGAACAGGGATAATATGAATTATAAAATACAGAAATATAATAAAAATTTACAACAACAATATTAAGAAATAGAAGAACTTGGGTGTTGTCATCGAGAACCGCAAAAAAGATTACGTATTAAAATTTTTTATCATAAAATATTCAATTATATTTAAATAAATAAGTTTACAATCAAAAGTAAGGAATAAAAGAACTCAAGCTTTCAAGTAATTAGATAAAAAAAAAATTTAGAATTAAAAACAAATGTATATAATGTAAATACAGTATCGGACAAATCAAGTGCAACCAAATAATGCTAATTTAGTTTCTTTATATAAAAGTGCTGCATTTTTTCAATTTAGAGAAATAACTATGTAATTGCTTAGAGACAACGTTCTTTAAGTTTTATTTATCACAAACTTCATTGTTTGTACACAAAAATTAATAAATTAATCAAAAGCATTAAAAAAAGTTGATTTGCTTCAAGACAAAACAAGTGCAACTTCACAAAATGTTAACCAAGCTGTATTTCGCTATTAATATTTCGTGGCGAATCCTTTGTTGTTAATCAAAGCCTTGCATCTTTGAAGCATAAATTCGAATAGGTGATCAATGAAACTTTGTGGAATATTGGCTTTTTGGATTTGTTCCCAGGCATTTTGGATTTGTTCAAACTATTGATCCTTATTACGAACACCTACTAATTAATTCTGCGGTTGACGATCTCCCACAGGTTCTCGATAGGGTTGAGATCCGGAGATTGAGGCGGCCAAACCATCACCGATAGGTGGTTGTCTTGTAACCACTGCTTGACTACTTTTGCAGTATGTTTTGGATTGTTGTCTTACTGAAAAACCCATTTTATTGGCATATTCCAGTAACATATGGCAGTAACGTAAATCAAGGCGTTTTCCGGCCAGTCGACGTACACGGCAAATGGCATTACTCCCAATGATGTTAAACTTCGATTCATCACTGAACAAAACAGTTCGCTATTTCTTCACATTCCATGAGATGTAGCAAACAGAAGTTTTTTCTTTTGGTTCTTTAGTGAAATCAGCGGTTTCTTTGCAGGGCGTCGAGAAAAAAATCCGGCTTCAACAGCTCGTCGTCTGATTGTTTGGTCCAATACAGGCAGCTTTAATTGTTTTTTTATCTCGACTGATGATATCCAGGGATCCTTCTTTACGGATCTGACGATTATAAAATCCTCTCTAGAAGTGGTGGAACGCGGTCTTCCACCTTTGTTATCTGCTTCCAACTTCCCCGATGAACAATATTTGGAACATAGTCTTGATATGGTCCATTTTTTCACGCGATATGATATTTATCACAAACACTTTTTTGTGAGATTCCACTTACGTAATTGCCAATAATTTTCTTTCTAGTTCCAATCCAAGACTGTCGGGAGCCATTTTTGCACTTGAAGTCATAAAAGTAATAAAAATAAATAAACACGTTCTGGATGTTTGTTGGATACTTCTGGATGCTTCTGGATGCTTCCAGATCCTTCTTCTGGAAACTTCTGGAAGCTTTTGCATGTTTCTGGAAACTTCTGCATACTACCTTTAATTATTAAAAAATTTCCGTGACATTGACACGTACCAAACTTAAGAAAATGAAACTAATCAAAAAATTTGCACTTGTTTTGTCCGCTGCAAAATGACACTTGTCAACGAAATTCTGCCTGTGTGCTGTCACCTGTCAACTGATCGCTCATGTCATGGCATGCTATGACTCCAGACCCCTGAACTGTTTGCTGTGGTAGTATAGTTCGTTTTGTTTTTAAGACATGTAAAATTAAGAACACTTTTTAGCATTGTTCGATGTTGGTTGCAAATGTTTTGTCCAATACTGTGTATTTTTTTTTTCCCATATAGTTGGAGGTGCCTTAGCTACTGTATTAGCTCACCTGTAATCTACGTTATATGTATGTTTGTGTTTTGTCTGAGCCTCTGGCGCAGTGTTCGCTCACCCGTAAGTTACTTTATGTTTATGTTGATGTTTTTTATGTTTTTTATGTATGTTTGTGTTCTGTCTGAACCTCTGGCGCGGTGTTGACTCACCCGTAAAGTGATTTATGTTTGTTTGTGTTCTGTTTATACTCTAATGCAGCGTGAGCTCAGTAACTAACTACTTACTCCAACTACAAAACGTACACTCACCTTAGACTCCTGAATTTTGTTAGATGCAGTGTTTTTGCTAATGCACTTCTAAAATGTCATGCCTGGTTTTCTCAAAGTACTGTTGCGGGAAGTAACTCCTTTTAACTACTCCAGGTCAGGTCAGGATAATCGAGATCAATCTTGCTACTGGTATCACGTAACCCAGTACCACCTGCCACAAGCCCTGCTGCCTTGCAGAGTGTGCTCTTCTTATGCAAAGGCTAGGAGAAATAAACTCCGACTAAAAATTCCCCTGCCTTGGGGCTCTTGGTTGAGTAAAGGCTAGAGATGGTGTCTCGATAAAAATACTCATCTTGGGCAGATGTTAACTGCATCCTGCTACTGTCTTGTAGAAGGCCTCCTAGGCAAAGACTTTAGGGGTAAGCAGAAAAATTCTGCTAACCAGCCTCGAACCCCTTCTTCATCTATTAGGCTGGCGTAGATGTAACCTGTGTTACATTGTTTCCTGCCTAGGATGATGAATGCTGGATCTCCTTGACTCTACTCATAGAATTTTGCTTATGCCTCCTTGATAATGGCTATGCAACTCTTCCTGTTATCTCCATATGAGGGTACAGCTCTAAAACTCAGTTAAATGGTTCTGAGGCCGGCTGGTAGTAAGGTTTCCCGAACTCTGTGGTAGCTCTCAGAGAGGCTGATTCCATCAACAGCTGCAAAATATCAGAGTATTTACAGTGCCATGTTGCGCATGGATGGTGTCCCTGTTAATGCTTTTGGTGTGCATTGTCAAGACCACATAAGGAGCCCTATGTCACGGCTTAGGGTTAATTAACAGGACTGAGACAACTGCATGGCTCATTGATTAGGAGGCTGTGCTCTATCTATGAATGAGTCTAGTTCTCATTAAACCCAAATCATGACCAAAGTAACCAAAAATTTTAAACCTAAAAAACCATCCCCACCACCTAAATATTTTAATATATCTTTTACAAATATTCGCGGTCTACGAAGCAACTTTCCATCAGTTGAATCTTACCTCCTGCAAAATTCACCAGACTTGCTTGCACTCAGTGAAACAAATTTAAGTTCTGCAATTCCTTTTTCAGATGTCAGTGTTGATGGGTACTATCCTTTGATTCGTAAAGACTCCAATAGTCACATGCTAGGTTTAGGGGTATACATACGCATTAATTCCCCTATTTGTCGTGAAATCAGGTTCGAATCCTTTGACCATTCTTTTATGTGCTTTCGCCTAGCACCTCTTCACTCTATCACCTTTCTCTTTGTTCTTTATTGTTCTCCTTCTTCCCATGATTGCACTCTTTTAAATGTTATCTCTGATCAAATTGACCATGCCCTCTCTCTTTACCCCTCTGCCAATATTGTTGTTGTTGGTGATTTTAATGCCCATCACACTGAATGGCTTGGCTTTAACACCACTGATCCTGCTGGCACTAAAGCCTTTAACTTCTGAGTTTCTCAATCTCTTACTCAGATAGTTAACTTTGTGACTCGTTTTCCTGACAACCCTAATCATTTACCTTCACTCCTTGAGTTATGTCTTGTCTCTGACCCTAGCTTATGTTCAGTTTCTCCCTTTTCTCCCTTAGGTGGTTCTAACCATGCAATGATCTCTATAAATCTTTCTGCTCGTACTTCTTTTTTGGGCTCACCTTATCATCGCACCACCTACTACTACCCTAAAGCTGATTGGGATTCCTTTCGTGATTTTCTTCGTGATGGTTCTTGGGCTGATGTTTTTTCTCTCTCAGCTGACAAATGCGCCTCCTACGTAACCTCCTGGATTCAGGCTGGAATGGAAGCTTTTATTCCTTCGCGTCGTTTTCAAGTCAAGCCTCATTCTACTCCATGATTTTCTCTATCTTGTGCGGCTGCTATATCCAATCGTAATCATTTTTTTCATCTTTTTCAAAAGAACAACTCTCTTGAGAACAAACGGCTATTTATTATTGCAAGAAATCGATGTAAAAAGGTGCTTTCTGATGCTAAACTTCATTATTCTCAGTTCACTAAATCTTGCATTTTATCACAGAAGTTAGGCTCTAAAGACTTTTGGAAAATCTTTAACAGCATTGTTAACAAGGGTAGATATAACATTCCATCTCTCATTCATGGGACTGATCTTATTACCTCTCCCAAAGATAAAGCAGAACTATTTGCAAAGAACTTTTCTTCTAATTCCACTCTTGAATCTTATGGACATTCTCTTCCTTCCATTCCAGTCAAACAGCTTGACCCATTGTTAGACATTCAAATCACTCCGGCTTCTGTTGCTAAAGTCATATCTCAATTAAACTCGTCTACAGCTTGTGGTCCAGACAACATTCCTGTCAGAGTCTTGCAGAATTGTTCTCCAGAACTTTCTTCAATTCTCTCTAAACTATTTAACAAGTGTTTGACTGAGTCTTGTTTTCCTGCTTGTTGGAAAATGGCATCTGTGGTTCCAATATTCAAAAACTCTAGAAAAAATTCTGACCCCTCCAATTATCGTCCGATCAGTCTTCTTGCTGTTATTAGCAAGGTCTTTGAGTCTTTGATCAACAAATTCCTCACATCTCATCTTGAGTCAAATAAACTGCTGTCAGACAATCAATACGGTTTTCGATCCTCTCGCTCTACGGCCGACTTGCTAACTGCTGTAACTGAAAGATTTTATCGTGCATTAGATGGAGGCGGTGAGGCTAGGGCTATAGCTCTCGACATATCTAAAGCTTTCGACAAAGTTTGGCATGCTGGTCTTCTCTATAAGCTTGCTTCATATGGTGTTTCTGAGAATGTTTTTG